AAGGGTCGCTGGATTTTTTATGATAGATTTCATTGGGTTCATAATCTGTGATCTTTTAAGATTCGAAGATTTTCTCTCACACTATAGTAAGTTCATAAGATAGGAGACATGAACCTAAGGCTATTGTTAAGTTTAATTTACTTCGAAATAGTACTATTTCAATTAGCTGTAATCATTTGTATGATATATTTGTAAATAAAATAGAAATATATACATGTTTGTTGCTGCATGTGCCTTGGTCTCTTTGTCTTGTGTCGCCTGTATCCTTTTTGTTGTCTTGCGTCATGTACTTTTTTTTTCATTTTTTGTACTGATTACGACTTTCGATGTTAATAGTTGGGATGGTTTTTCCAGATATACGTTTAGTCAGCTTTTAGTTGACAAGAAAAGTTTCACATACATAGGTAGTGGGCGAAACGGACTAAAAACTGTTCGATAAAACTGCTGCCAAGTGTCGTGTGGTTCTGTCATTTGTGTTTTTCGTTTCGTTGAAGGAGTGCCTCTGTTTAACAGTTCAGTTGGTTTGTGAATCCTAGCATTCTGTAAAACAATTTCAGTCTATAGATGAAACCAAAATGGAATGCTACTCGCAGAGCCTACTTCTCCAGCGGATATTCTTTTGGCTTGAGGTGAGTAAATAAGTGTCTCACCCACCCAGATCAGTTAATAATTAACTTCGTCGTTGGCATCTCTAGACAGATAGGTATCAGTGCAAGGCTGTTGTCACGTTTACATGTTTGCCTGCTTGTATTCATCCTACTCATTGCCAGTTTTACGAGCAGTTTTTAATTCTACCTTGGTATGAATATTGTTCTTATGCACTTGTGTTTATTCATTTCCTTCTTCCCGTATTAATGCATGCAGATATCCACTTTAATCATTTATATAAATATTATACCTTCATATTCTTGTACACACGCGTCTAAAACCTGCAAATTACTCCTGATCAATTTATGAGATATTCTAAATTAGAAGATTCAAAAATTTGATTTCAACTTTTAATTGACTTATATTTCTGTAAAAATATAAAATAAACATGTAGGTATTATCTACATTAAAAAATTGTGGAAGTCACTAAAATTAAATTGAACCGTTTTCAAGATTATTTTATAAAATCCGCTAAAAAATAATCATCTAAATTAGAATATATCTCTCATTATTATTTACTGTATTATAATTTTATCTTTTCTCTTCTTTTTATAATATATATCATTTATTTTAGAGAATGAAAAATTTTCTGTGTTATACTTATTATCTATTTGGGATTTAGTTCGATGATTCTTTTTAAACAGATTTTGTTCAATTAAAAAGTAGTAGGTTCTTACCATAGCTATTTATAATATAATAGACATAAATTGTAAAAATAACAATTTGTAACAAAATTCCAGGGCACTACATACGCAATAACAACACAGAAAATAATTTACATTTCATTGCAACAAATGTGGTTGGTAATTTGGAGAGCGTCACTAGTTTCCCATTCACTACGTAACAAAACATTTCACCATAAATGCTTCTTTAAACGTCTATATTACAATCTACAATAGTTTCACATTGTTCAACTATTTTCAGGAATGTGCATCTCGAGTAGCAAAGGTATCGACACCAGAAAAAGAGAAGCATGTCTTCGTTTCTGATCATCGTGCAGACACAACGCCAGTTATTATTAGTAATAATGGTGAGAACGAGAAGATATCAGATTTCAGCGAGTCGTTACAACAACGCAACGAAGATACTAGCGAAGAAGCAGAACGTATTTCCTTGATGAGCCTAGACGGCGGATCAAAGCGTGGAACAAGTAGAAAACAACACTGGAAATCCCAAAGCATGGGTGATACTGTGCAGCAAACTGCGAATTCTCTTCAAACAAGCAATACTATCTCTCAAGATGAAGAACCTCAGGAACAGCCGACGTTTTCTGCGAATCGAGAACTTTGGCAAAGACGAGCGACGTCGCAAACGCAATTGAACCCGCCTGCGCCTCCTAATCATAAAATTTTCCGTGCCTCCCAAGAATTCCGTGAAATGCGTCAGAAACATACACCGGATTTGGTAATGGATCTGCCTTTATCGGCACAGGATGCGAGTAAAAAGTCTGCTTCGTCGAGCAGTCTAAGCAGCTCTGACGAAGAGACGCCAACTCAGCCATCTCGTGCTGAAGCGGCCACATCGCCAACGGGCGGTCCCGAGTCCCCTGACATGAGCACAGCTGCAGAACGATTCGCTAAACAGAACCAATGCACTCTAAAGAAAAATACCAAGTCGAATCCTGACGCGTCAAAGTTAAAACGTATGGAGACCGAACACGATCCCGAACAAGAGTCTGAGGAAATTGTTAGGTCGACAAGTTCCAATCAGATCTCGGATTCGATGCCTTTGAGATCACCTCTTCCACCACGTTCGACGCCGAAGATAGTGGCGAAATTTGCAGATATGCACCTAACAGGCGGCAGCCAGGTGTCCTCGTTCAAGCCGCAGATAAAAGTGAAGCCAACGATTCTCAGAAAACCGGTGTTACCATTCCCACATCCGCACATGAGTCCTGAGCTCGCGAGGAAAATCGAGAAGCAAGCGCAGAGCGCCGAACAAACCAATTAATTGCTAACCCAGGGTATTACAGAGAAGTTTTTAGCAGCGAGGAAATATTTATTTTCAGCAACCCATGCGTGTTTGAGTAAGATTTCCAGACGCGTAGATTTGCCACTGACTTTCCATTGACCAGTTACTCCGCCCAAATCGCAAGGACACGAAGTGTGTTAGTTACAGTACCCAAAAAAAGAAAGGAAAGCCGGACAGCATCGTTCCTTGATATGGAACGGGTCACGTGAGTTTAGTTTCAGCCAGTGAACGTTGCGTATAAAAGGTCTGATGCTGTCCTCGGGCCGAGTTTATTTTTTCTACGACTATTTTCCATTTTCGCATAATTTTTTTACCAAATGACCCGCGAAACGATGTTTCTAGTCATCGAGCGATGATTGAAAAACGATGCGAGAAATGTGTGAGCGAGAAAAATACATCGAAAAAGAAAAAACAAAAAAAAGAATATAATTTCGAGATTAAGTAGTTTTTCGTCGATAGAGCGAGAGAATGAGAGCGAGAAAGCGCGAACGAGAGAGCGAGAGAGAAAAAAGCCAGATGATTTTGTACGTTGGACGATTTGTAATTTATTGCAAAGAATATTTCTTCTCAACGTGTTATCAGTATAATGTTTGCAACAAACGTATTTGATGTTCCTTTAAAAACGCACGCGAGTAAGTATGAGTTTTAAACAAAACAAGAAAAAAAGAACTAGAATCTTTTTTAGGAATTAGTTTCTTAAGAAGAATGAGTGAGATGATTTCGGGATTTAAATCCCGAGCTATTATTATTATTATTATTATTATTATTATTATTATTATTAATATTATTATTAATATTACTATTATTATTATTATTATTATCATTAAACATTAGTAACATGTCTTTAATAAGAATTATAACGACAATGATGTTCGATATATTCGAGAATAGTAAGTGTACAATAATGCACGAGTATTTAAACAATTCGACGTCAGTTCTAGATATGTACCAATAATTCTACTATGACAAAAAAAATTCAACGAAATCAGAAGAAAGCGATGTAACACCTCGATGTATTCATGCCCTTCTTCCCTATAACCAATTTAAAAAAAAAGGAAAAAAAATCGAAAAAAAATCATTGTACTCGTTTATCGAAGTAATATGCATACAGTATACTTGATACTCTGTGCAAGCATTCTACGAATTATACTTTGAGTGGAAAACTAATGGGACGCGTTATAAACAATCGTGATCCATAAAGTAACGAGTGATGCAAATTCAATTAAGATTGATTAACATAATACTCTTTATAGTTACTGATCAAATATTAGTACGAAATATTATCACATTATACCCACCGCAATAAGAAAAATACCAAAGCCAATGGATTATTGCCTTCCCCCTTTCCCCATTTTTCTGATTGTATCATAATATTTGTTGAACGAACACAAAGCTAAAACTTTAGTTTTCTTAACGGTGCGTTCGTTTTTATATACATAGTTCATACATAGTGAGAGTTGCGCTTTTACAATCGTTTTCTTTTGTATAACTACTCTCATGTTGAATTGTTAGCCCCATGAGAATTCAGTGTAATTTAACGTGTAATTTAATGTTGTTACGTATTTATGTCAATTTGCCCCATCGTACAGATACAGGAGCCTAATTTGACTATTTTTCCGTTACGGTTACTGATATTAACTTCAATAAAAAAAACTTGCAGGCTGCATTGTGACCATTTCTGCAACAAAACCTAATCATATTCCCAAATCTAAATTTGTGTAACTTTTATAGGTATTGCGGTGAGTAAATTTCTTAGTGCTTGTTCTTTTGTTTTTATTATTAGGAAAGAGTCCCTGAATTTTAGTTTAATGATAACTTTGAATTATGACTGCAATTTTAAAGAAACTTTATGCATCGCTTTGGAAGAAATTTAACATGTCCATAATTTTTTAATATTATTCGAATTATTTTTCCTGATAAAAAATATTTTTGGTCGTGTTAAAAATTATAATTTTTCCAGTTACTTGTTCCAGTGCAATCAAGAACCATTAGGTGATCATTGAAAGCTAACTTGAAATAAAAGTATAAAACTAATGAAAAATGTGAAAAAACAGGTAATAAATCATTTATTTTTGGCAGGCCTTTTACAAGTATCCTGCACGTTGAATGCAATAACTTAAATGAACATTTACATAAGATTTTCTTTGTTAAATGTAAAAAAAACGTATCAAAACTACTGTTTCCTGTGCATCGATGTTTATAGAGCGCGCGAAATTTAAATGGAGAAATGCAGTATTTACACCTGATGAGTGAGTGACTAATGGTCAATAAGAATACATAATTAAATACATAAGGACGGCTGATAAATCAGCTGATGTCAGCTTTCGTAAATAACTACATACATGTTCTTTGCGAAAAGGTAAAGATGACATTGTATTCCATGCGTATGCATGTTTATTAACGAAAAGCCTGAAAAAATTTCTCAACAAATCAGTATCGAGTATTAACATTCACGTCCTCATACTTTTATCAGATTCAATTGTTTCGTTTTTGATATTATGTGTCCCTCTCGGTTTTCCCTTCGGTAAAAAAGATGTGGTTAGTTTTTGATAATTACAACTTCGAAAAGTTATTGAAAATACAATGTTGATCCTTGTATTTCATACTTGAACTTATTCCAGTTTAATGGTTTCAATGCCGATACACAATAAATATTTTCAAACATGGAAATTGATGAAATAGTGAGAGACATTTTTGGGTCAGATATACTCTTAGAATCTACTGATAGAAAATCTGGCAATGAAAGTGAAAAATCATCAAGGTATTTTTACTACTCGATCGATTTATTTATGTATTAATTTATCATAGTTAATAGTTTTTGAAATATATGTATTAACATTTTAGGGTAGCTCATAGCTTAGATTTAACAAATAGGTACATTGAAAGTGCTCTTTTAAAAGATGCTCCAGAGAAAAATGTAGAAGACAAAAGAATTGGCAGAATTGGACCAAATGTTGTCAGATTTGACATAACATCACGTCTAGGATTATTCTCAATTTCTCCTGATAAGCTCACTCTTAATGGCAGAAGTAATTTTAGCACAATGAGAGCAAATACAGCGGTATATCAAGGAAAATGGATGTACGAAGTTCAACTTGGAACCAAAGGTCTCATGCAAATTGGTTGGAGTACAGTTAATTGTACATTCACTCAAGAATCTGGTGTTGGTATGTTGATATTTCTGATAATACAATTTAAGAATTTAACTCTATCTTATAGAATGTATCTTTATTAGGAGATACCATTAATTCATATGCTTATGATGGAAACCGTGTTAGAAAATGGAATGCAGCTACGTTTACATATGGAGAACCATGGCATACAGGAGACATTATTGGATGTGCATTAGACTTAGATAATGGAAATGTTGATTTTTATAGAAATGGTAGATGTCTTGGACGAGCTTTTGAAAATATATCAATGGGTGCTGGTTTTGCATATTTTCCAACAGTAAGTCTTGCACTAAAAGAAGGTTTAACAGCCAATTTTGGATCCACACCAATGCACTATCCTTTAGAAGGATATGAGCCATTACAAGCAATTCCAAAACAAGAAATACATCAAGCTGTACTTTTATTCAAATGGTTTTTAAAAATAACAGAACAGATAGATACAAGACAAAATATGAACAAAGAGAGTGATATAAGCAAAGAGATTATACACAAAGAAAAGTTACATAATGAAGATATGAATGTACAGACCTATTTAATGTGTCTTTCAAATTGCGTTTTAAAACATATAGGACCTTTAGTTTCAATGCCATATGTTACGGAATATATTGTGGTTCCTTTTATAAGACATCTTTCGAAACCAGAAACTTCTTTATTGTCAACATGTTTAGATTTATTATGGACATTTCTTGAAGAGCATGAACTCAGGATATGTTTAGAAACTATTGTCGTTTTTTTACTGTCTGCATTCAGACATGTATCTTATTTAGTTGAATATTCTGATCAGTGTAAGAACTTGCTTCTTCTAACGAAGCTTTGTCAACATGTATCAACGCGTCAGTATTTATTGCAACATTTACTCTTTGATCAAGTAAGGCTTCCAAATTTCTTGAATGTTAAACCACCAGATAAAAAAGGACTGATTGACATAGTTAGTAATGTATGGTGGGAAACAGATCCTGTAGATTTAACAGTTGAAGCTAATAAAAAAAGTTACTTAGAAGCTTGTCAACAAATTAAAACTACAATCTCTGGTACAGTCAATTTTAAGCGTTTTTGTTGTATAATTTTTAATATTTTTTATTTATAATTTATATTTTACAGAACTAGAAACATTACAAGTACAATTTTTAATAATTCTTCTTGATAATTCTGATGGTAATGAAAAAAGACCAACTTCAAGAACTATATTTTTAAGAAAATTTAAGCGTTTTGTTCCTATAGCAAGTAGTGTAAGTAACGAACTATTAAACTTTCGATAATTAAACTATTTTGTTTAGCATTATGTCTTTGGTCAGTATTTCTACAGATAATAATCAATAACTTCAGAATCCGGCACCGATTACTCTTTGTTGTATTTATCGACTTCTGATTGCATTCAAAATTTTATGGGATGCCGAAGTTGGAACATCACCTGTTTATGTGCCTCCCAGGTAAAATTTTATTCAATATACTTTCAATATTAATAACATCTTTTTTTTCATAAATTGGAATGAACAGGGTATTTTACGATGGATCAATCGACTACTCTAGAATCGAAAGATTGGGTGGATTAGTGTCTCATTTGAACAAGATGCACAGAGGTGAACTAATACAACTGTTAGGATCTGAACACCAAACAATTGTTACAATGGATCAAACTCAAGATACATCTCATTCATATAGGATGGCACTTGTTCGAGTGAACAACATGAATTCACTAGATCAAGGAAGATCAATAATCCTTGATACAACATCATTACCCATGAACACTGCAGATCCAACTACATCTTTGCTTGAATTACTCGATAGTATTATTTTATTTTACCATCTAGTAGCAAAGAAGCCATTGGCAAAAGCGGCTCTTCTTAGGAATAGCATGTTAGAATATATTTCTGCCAATCAAAATATAAAAATACGACTAGAAGAAGTTAAACAGAAAGAGAAGCTTGAATCTGTGTCAATCGAACAAGAATTACTCAGATCCATTAATGTTTTCAATGCTAAGTTAATAGAGCAGGGAAGACATATGGCGTGGATTCGTGCTGCTGTTTATTCAAAGGAGAAACAATCACAACTAGCATGGCTTCTAAAAGTGATCACGTTGACTTTGACAAACGCCAGCTTAGAAGGAAACATGTTTAGTTTTGTCCCGGACTTTTACATAGAAGCATTAGCCGACTTGTGTGTTGGTTTACGAAATCATATGCATCCAACAGCACGTATTGAACAAATTCCAGATTACCAACAAATGTTTTTGAACACAGCTAAATTTCTTTGTGATCATTTTATGGACTCTCGTATAGTAAACGTAGATTCTAAAAGTACGTTACTTTTGACACTAGCTGGATTCGTGTTCAATCCACTTACATTAGAAGCTATGGAAAGTGTACCAGAAGAGAGTCGAATAAAACTTGTCACGAACTTATTGAAATCATACGAAAACAGGGCATGGGCAGAGTCAAATTGGATTTTAGTCAGATTTTGGCAAGGTAATGGCTTTGCCTTTCGATATGAAAGAAGCCCACATCTTTTGAAAAGAGTCGGACCAAAATCTTATCAACAAGAATCAATTTCTCAACCTAGAAGTACGTAATTTTTGTTTTCAGTAAATGCCTTAAAAATTGGACAATCAACGAGCTTACTAGTCTCTGTTCTTTAGAGCCATGTCCGTCCATTGTGTACCAAGGCCACGTAAGGGATGTATTATTGAAAAATCTTCAAGACACGACAGCGTTGTTAAATTCTTTACTAAATTTGCTGAATTGGACTTTCTCCGAGTTTATTGGAATGGTTCAAGAGATTCACAATGTTTCATCCAGGCCCGAAAGAGTCTTCATTGAATCTAGACAGCTAAAAATTTGCGCCACATGTTTCGACTTAACGATTTCGCTATTGAGAGTTTTGGAAATGATCATCACTGTGATTCCGGATATCTTCAATAATTCACCACAGTCTTTCAGTGAAAATCTGTTGTTTAGATTGTGCCAAGTACATGTTTCTATGTTATTAATGTCTTTATACTTTACTTAACATATAATTATCATTACATTATTATTTTTAGTTACTTTGTCAAATTTTAAATAGAATTAGCTCACAAACTAGTTGCTTCCAACATGTTGTGTTATTGGAAATCCCAGATTTAGAGTCGGTGGACCACTACCCAATACTAGCAGCAGTTACAGGTATTTTGTTGGCATTACTGAATGATGATATGATCAACTCTAAATGTAAGTATAATTTTTAATTACAAGTAAAGAAGGTATATAGACAGAATTCAGAGTAAGAAAAATATGAATTTTATTAGCAAAACCCATAGCAGAAGTACCAAGGATTACTCAAACCCTATTGATAGAGCCGAGTTTTCAAATGAGCACTCTTTATTTCTTGCTAGGAGATTTAAAAGTTGAAGATAAGCAAGGAAGAAATATAAAAAGATTTTCTTTTTCAAATTGTAAGTATAAATAAATATATAGTATGATATATAAAAAATTATCGCATAACTTTCTAAATTAAATTTTTGTAGATAAAAATGACGTAACGGAAGAAGAAATTGAAAAAGTGAAAGGTATGATAGAATATTTAGACGAGTGTCGTGCTATTTTACCAAACTCAAAAATTTCAAGCGATAATGGTGATATTTGCACAATATGCTATGCACAACCTATAGCAGTAACTTTTAAACCTTGTAATCACCAAACATGTCGTATTTGTATCGACCGACATCTCTTAAACAGTAGATCATGCTTTTTTTGTAAAGTTACGATCGAGAAAGTCATAGACCTTTCCAGCAACGTGTTACACGATTTTAGTAACGAAATTACGTCCTCGAAATAATCCATGACAACGTGTTGACAGTATAACATAATCGTGAAAGTAATTATAAAAATAAATTTCTTGTAAAAGCTATGATAGATTCTGGAGAAAAGTAAACAAATTGTATAAAATGTTATATAAAATTTTATTTATTTAATATTATTTTCTATCATTCTGTCTTAAAGATTTATGAATGCAGTACAAAAATAAAAAAATTATAAATTTTAGTCTTTATATAGATTTTCTGCCATAATATAACAAACATACCATTATATTTGCGTATGTATCAGTCTTTCCTGTTTCCTATTATAATTAATACAATCTATCAGAGAATATTAAAATATTTAGCTAAATTATAACAGTTATAAATCACAGGACATTATGATAAAATTATTATACGAGCATTTATGACATTTTTTCTTTTGCTTATTAGTAGTTTACACAAATTTTTCTTGTGTAAAATATTTCACAACCTCAAATCATATAAGATATACTAAGTACATAGATTTTCTTTCAACTGTCTAAATCCAGTTACTAATGAACTTTTGTTAGGTTTTATATTCAAATCTTCTGTTGCTTCTGTAAGTATAACACCAGATATAAACGCACCAAGCGCAGTAATGAAAATTGCAAAAAATATTAACAGTCGATCTTTATTTAAATGTAGTTCCGAATCTTTCAAAAGTGTACTCTGAAATAGGCAAATGCCTGGGAAGATAAACATAAAAGCTGCTGACAACGCACCCAGAAAATTAATAACTGGTGAAATATCTGGTACTAGTACCGCAATTACTAAAGACAGTATATACCAGATCAATGTAATAAAAACTCTAAATTTAATAGAGTTACTGTCCATTCCTAAAAGACTTAGAAGCGCATCACGACCACAATACAAGACAATTGGATATGTAGTAAAATTTTTGATTGCTATGAATATAATCCCTAAAGTGAGAATTATACTTTTGTCTGCATAGCCTTGAAGAATATCACTGGGCACTTTTCCAGCTCCAAATGTCGCATATCCAAAAACACCAACCACTGTGTAAGCAGTAAAACAAATAATCATGCTTACTATAGCACATAATGTAAATTTTTTAAGATTGCGTTCTTTCATACAAGCATACATTGGTATTGCTGTCATATGACTCTGCAAATATAAAAATCATTTGTAAGAGTGAAGCAACGAGTTAAAACCACAACATTCTTAAAAATAGGATACCTGGTATGCGAAACAAATTATTGGAATTATTTGAAGTGCCTCATATTCGTTGTCTGGCCATATTTTCATAGAATTAATGGGATACACAGTATTTGTAAAATATTTATAGACTATTAATGCTATTACATATAAAATAGTTATGCAACCAATAGAACTAGCATAGCTTAGAACATCCAATCCTTTAAAAAAGCATAAAGGCAGTATAAATAAACTACACGTCACAGTTGTGACAAATGTTCTGGACATATACCTAAAATATTAAATTAGTTAATAAAAAACAGTAATATTAATACAAAAATATTCCAATATATACTTTCATTTACCATGTATAACAATAATCAAGTCCATAGTATGTTGCCAGAATTCTATCAAACTGGTCACCAATAATTATTAAAAATGTTAAGCAACATCCAAAACTATATATCACAATACAAAGTGCACATAGAAACAATGATCTTTGTCCATAAAAATTAGCAAACATATCTTGCATAGTGCAGGTATTTGTAATGTCACTGCAATTGGCTAAAATGACAAGTGTAGCAGTAATAAAGATGAGCGCAACAAGTTGCACGTTAATAGAACTGACCAATCCTCCAGCTCTATCAAAGGCTTGTGGGAAATTTAAAAGACCAGCTCCTAAGGTGGCATTCACAATTAGAAAAATTGTACTTAATATGCTGGTTCCTGCAAATATTACAAACAATTAATAAAAAATATGCAATACATTTCATTTCCTTAAATGCTTAAATATATAAGCAAAATTTACTATCGTACATTATTTTGACATATACATAGTAGATAAATTAGAATTATTACAAAAAATCAATGACAGATGTGTCTTATTTATGTTTGAAGAAAAATTAGAAACTGTATTATAAAGTAAAATAATAAACATAATACCTGATCGAGCATTTTCAGCATTAGGAATAGACGAAGGACTTGGTGCAGTACATAATAACATATCATTGGTAATAAGTCGTTCCGTATCCCCTATTAAACAATTCATGATGATGTTTGCAATCTGAATGGTTATTCCTGACTAATAAACTATCCAACTTTTATCTGGGATAATGCATTTCTTCGAGTAAACAGAAAATTTATCAGCAATATCTATGACTAGATAATTAGATCAAAGTTCGTTAGAAAATAAAATTATGTTCGTTACTTTAATAACATTGTTGTTTTAAGAAATATTTTACAAGTACATACTTTGTTTCAATTATGATCTATCGGTGAACTTTAAACCTTCCGACTTGGAATTGCCGATTGAATCCGCGTGATGTCGCCGTGTTAACTTTGATTAAACTTACTACTAAATTTGAAAACTTGTTAGATGATAAATTATAGTACTTTAGACATTCTTTCTTATTTAAAGTCAATTGACAGTCTAATATATTTAAAAATAATAAAGTGTGTTATTTTATAATTGTAATAATATAATATGTTATTTTTAATATTTTATATTTTATAAGAAAATGTTTATTTAAGATAACATGATGGGAACAAAATATCAAATTTTATAAAATTGAATGAATGAGTAAAATAATATATAGAAAAATAAAATCTATTTAATTATGTTAGTCATTTATTGTACACATTTCTATTATGCATATAGATGATTCATATTATTAAAATCCTTTAAATAAACATTGAATTTTATATATATGTGAATACAAATAAATATTGCTAGATGTATATATGAATATTTATATGCAAAATTTACAAGACTTTATACAGTTCAGTCATACATTTACATGATATAAGAAATAGTTTCGTAAAAAATTACAAATAATCTAAGCTTCAGGAACGCTTGTATATATTCTTACTCCATGCATATCCTTAATCTCTTCTTTAAGGGCCTGTGGAAATAATTACAATAAAAAAAAGTCAATGGTGCAACAATATCTTTTCAATAATGTTTCTTACATCATTAATTAATCGATGCTGCTTAATAGTGTTCAATCCTTTGAATTCTGGTGCAATAACATTTATTTCAAACATTGCACCACATCCTCCTGCAATAATAAAATATATACATTCCTTCAAGCTTTAAAAAAATTTTAAAGATAAAAAGAATATCTTTAAAATTTTTAGAAGCAAGATATTTTTAAATCAAAAATATTAAATTAAAAATAAATAATATAGAATCTTAAATGAATGAAATTAACGTTTCTTTCATATTTCTATATTAGACAAATCATTCTTAAGTCTTTATTCCTTAATAATGATCAAGATAACTTTTTTCAAAAAGCATCAGTGTTCTATTACATATTCTATTACATTGTCGCAATAAAAATATACCATAATTTACTTTTTTTTCACAATCATTTTACCTGAGACATCATTAACTTCTATAAGTTTAGCTTGAGGAAATTTGTTTCTTAGAATTGATATCATTTTTTGTTCAGCATTTCTACCAGCCAATGCCCTGTTGGGTCCATTCCATACCCTCGATAGAAGCTGCAAAACTTTCATTTTATTCATCTTACGCATTCTTCAAAAGTTTTTTATTTCTCTCTTTTAAAGAGAAAGGAAATATGAAAATATGAATATTAGGAATTTCTTCAAACGTGAATAATAAGTATTTAACGAGCTGATTTTGGCATGTTAAGAGGGAATGGTAGCTATCATAAAGTTTCTTCAATTATAGAACAATTTGCTCGATAGTAAACGTACACTTATATGAGAAGTGTGTTTGTACCTACCGAAATATTACGAAAATTTGACATAAACACACGACCGAACATAGTTATTACGATAGATCGGGTTCGTTTAAACCTCGTTTGTTTTTCTGTTTATGATCCAATGAATGACAGCTTTTCGTTGAAAACAGTCAAATGAAATGGTAGTCAACTGAGAGTACATAAGCATTAATATTTCACTCGATCAGCTGATTCCTAAATATAAAGTTAAGATGGCGCCATCTACTTAATTCTAGAACACTGTAAAAAAAAGAAAAGCGCATTAAACAATATAAAAATACATACATATATTTTTTACTTTTACTCATACATGGAATACGTGAATCGAATATTAAATTGACATCAATTGAAAATTATTATCACAAATTCATTACATTTGGTGTTATTTCATTTAACAAAAATTTTATTAATGATATTATTCAGTAAATTTGTACATAAAAAGCTTCAAATAGTGAAAACTGAATTATGCAACAATAGATCAAAAATATAAAATATAGCCAAAATTGATGAATGATTTTTCGATCGATAAATATTGATTTCATAAAAAGCGAGGTTAATCTATTTATTACCGACTAACCCACCTTTCATAACAAAAATTACAAGCTATTTTTACCGAACGTTATATCACAACCGACATCATCATTTTCATCTACACATCCAAATAAACAATCTTTCATTGGCATTGATACTTGAAGAAACATTGTATCGCCTAATCTCTAAATGAAACTAGCAGATATATTAGAAGAAAATGTCATTCCTTTCAAATTAGCGATAGTTGCGATACATATGTTAAGTAAATAATCATACATGTAACAAGAGCCAATACATATTCGTGATGATGCAATCAACGAATGGGTGTGTATATGAAATCTTTTCTACGATTTCGTCATTTTTTTCAGCCAATTAGAAGAAAATTTGCGAAAGTGGATGCACAACAGGTTACGTTGTTTCGCGGATTAGATCTAATGAATGATTTGCTGGTTGCCGATAAATGCTTACGTAAACACATATATCGCAAGTGGAAATCGAGTACACGCGCGTATGCGCACGCACCATAAACTTGGCAAAGGATGACGTAGATTAACACGGACTCGAGTGTAACCTTGATCCGTACATTGCAGCCTCTCCCTCCCTTTGCCCTGCGACCCCTGATCCTTCTATTTCATCGAAGCTGAAGCGCTCCAGGAGCAACATACAACTTACGTACATACATACATGCAATAAACCATAGACTTGAGAAGTATAGACCGCAAATGCCGTGTTGAGAAAATGGCCCTTGTGGAAAAAGAAATAGAGATAAATAACAAGGTCTCTCTTTCTTTTTCTATGTATTAAAAACGAATATCTATTAAAAAGAGAAAAAGAGACCACGTAATATATCTCTATCTCTTTTTTAACGAGAACCACACTCTTCATAAAGCATGTCAGTCTATATTTCATATGTCTATGCAACGAATCAATGATGTGTGTGTACGTGTTTCTTCCACCGAAATTCATGCTTAGCCCAAATCCGAACGATACGTTGCGAAAAATTTACGAAGTGAAATCATTTCACCTTATAGGCTTATATGTATATACACTTACACACGGTTTCCCGGGGGGTGCAGGGGACACCGTGCAACAAGGAAGTGGTAAAGATATTATCGATTCGCTAGAGCTCACGAGTTAACGGTTTGTTTACACGAGCGTGGGGGAAAGTGCGCATGCGCGTCAGAACCAAAACAATAATAAGAGAGTAGAAGATTTGTGGCTAACGGACGAGCGGTCGCTCGCTTTAGCTCTAGGGAACGTTGCCGTGCCCTTTTTAATCTCTATACTTACGAATTACTCAAAATTGTAAACTTTCGACCTTTTATTATTCGAAAACAGTTATTTGTTGGAGGTATTGCAATCGTCAGTGGATTTCTGGATTCCGAACCGTACACGCTGTGTGAGAGCCGGAGCCAGACTTGCGTCAAAACGTGTATTATTGTGCAACGTGTGCTCGAATCGAAATGTAACACGATCGAGAAAGAGACGATGTTGACGTTGAAATAACTCCAATCGAGTTAAGAAAGAGATAGACAAAGAAGAATATTTTCGTGTATATACGTTCAAACGAATTTAAAACCACCGTGTGTGCGTGTGTGTGGCCGACTACACCAATATATGTGTCCGATGAAGATGTGTTCATTCAATTCTTCGAACTAAAGCACGAGCAAAACTTGATGATTCGTTCAACATTCGAGAAAAGGAAAGGCTTGGAGAGGAGGGGGTAGGATAAATGGTGCGTATTTACACAGTGAATCACGCGTTCCATGCGATTACGAGACGCGACTGCTAGTTTAGGCCATCTATGTTTACACGAACGTTTCTAAATATGTTCGTAAACATCAAGTGCACCTTTAACTGGGAAAGCTAGGCAGGCTTAATCAATTCAGTTACCTATATCATTCAAAGGTTTATTCTACTCTGACAAAGAAATTACAATATATTTAAGAAACAATTAAAATAAAAAAAAAAAACGGAAACAATAAGCTAGGAAAATATTTTTCTTGTGTATTGATGTGTGCAATGTGAAGAACCTTCTGCCTGCTTACGAAAGGAAAGGAAAAAAAGAGAGAAGGAGAAAGGGAAAGAAAGAGAGAGGACAATAACACGTTGGCCGAGAGCGCGGCTTTATTGTAGCCGCTGCTCGCCAGTATCGCAGACGTGGAGGTGTAAACACGGCATTCGTGCCATTGTCCTTTTGTTCTCGTAGCCGGTGAACGGGGGAAAGTAACCTACGCCATGCCGAGCGCCGAGGAAACAACCTACTTGATCGAGGTAGTGCCCAACACGACGCAGGACTTCCTCTCTCGCGACGTCGATCTTCTTGTCTCTCAAATCAAAGAGAACCTTCGACTATCCAGTTTGAAAGCTAAATCTAGCATCAGTCAGAAAAACCGACCATCACCATATCAAATACCTTCGAGGTCTTGGGCAGATCCCAGTAGCTGTGAGATGTGCGGCATGAAAAATACCGGTGGCCACGATCATCGTCATCACTTAGCTCATCATCATCACCATCACAAAAGGCCGACAACGAGAGACGACGACCCGTATGAGCTTTTACAAGAATTGCTCAGAGAAGGTGGTTTGATAAAAGAGGCTGTGAAGAGACTTCAAGCGAATCTCGTCGATCTGGATAATTCCGAGGAGGAGGAAGATGACGAACAATCGTCGACGGTTTATCGAAGAAAACCGTACTTCTACGATTCGGAGGACGAACAGTTACCACCGGTGTACAAACCACTTGAGCTGTGAAAATGAATTATAGTGCGGCCGGTATACGAGACCGGTATATGGAGATTTAAACAGATTTTTGTGGTGTCTAGACTACACAAAAGTGAAAAAAAGTTCGGTGTCCTTTATTAAAACAGTCATTCTTGTTCCTTGGTGTATCTTTCCACGGTTATACATTTGGTATACCTCGTGTGTATATATATATATGTACTCTGTGTGTATATATTGTGTATGTGCATACATGAGAAAAAAAGGGTTATCAGGCGAGAACATATTCGCCCGTTAAGCGAAATATGTGTGTGGCTCGTATCGAAAGAAAGTACAACGAGGTAAACATAATTAGCCAAGAACTTACGGCCTTACATGGCCGTGTTTGTAAATATGGTATGTTGTTATCCGAAGTAGTTTCACACGCACGAATCGTGTAAATTCGGCTAAGCTCGCCTGTATCGACGACTCACGAGGCTTACGTGGAAGACATGGCTGCCTCGATTCGGGCCCTCGGATTCGATTTACATGACAACAAGGTTCACCGATCTTTTTTCAAAACTGCGATTCTTGTCCCTCTTTGAATAAATGAAAAAAGATAAAAGGAAGAGTTCCTGAGTGCTACTTTCGCGTCCAGGGTACTAGAAAGATGATGTTTTGGAAGTAGTGATTGACAATTGAAATTTACCGAAATCGTTTGCAACCTATTTGTTATCTTTTTTATACAAAAACATTTATAATTTTTTGTTTGCTTTGATAGTTTATTACCTTTTTTGTAATTATAGAAAGTAATCTGGTAGTTAATTTGAATTAGGTATTTAAAAATGGAAAGAAGTAGCAACTTAATGTGCGATCTGATGTGAATCGGTTAGCATAATAATTCAGCATTCAATAATTTAATGCTTATTTAAGTTCATGTGTTACCTCCGTTATATATGTATATGTATCTTATGATTATGGATTTTTTTAATCGCGTGAAATACGAGAAAGAGCACGCGTATAGGATATATTAGTTAAAGAATTTTGCTCGATTTGATCGGGTTGTTATGGTCCAGTTACTACTAGAGGAGTTAACTATGTAAATCATCTGAGAAATCAATCAACGAATTATAGAAACGCCTTTTTACGCGCGGAAGCATCGCAACTCGAAGGATAGTGATCTCATTTATTTTTTTCTTTTTTATTTTTTTCTGCACAACGAACGAGAGGTATTTGTTTAAGGTAGAATCAACAATCTAGCGTTCGTTACTTGAGTTATATATATTATGTATATGTATACTTTCAAATTTAAGTTCTGTAATTGTGCGCACACGAATTATCGCCATTTTGTTCGTTTGAAAGTATTTAGCCGACTTGGTTGAAGAGAGATAGTAAACCGACTTTGTTGCAAAAGTATATACGCGAGTACGTGGGTTTCTTACACGCTTGATACATGGTAGGTTTACATTCGCTCTGCATATATTAAGTACATATATAGTTATTTATCACTATCGATCGTTAGCGACGTAACAAACGCTGTACGCGCGTGTAAATTTGTTGTATGCATATTGGATGCACATGCGTATTCGGTTTAACGGTAGAGCATAATTCAGTTTACGATTTCGGAATTGATATGAAGAAAAATCCGGTAAAAGGTGGATTTTGTAATATATCGCCCTATAAGAGCCGGACAAAATGAAAGCACGGTATCGCATATCGTGTCATGTCTACATATTGTACAAATGTTAACTAGTTCACAACTACAAATATTACGTTAGACACAGTTCCGATGAACGCACGTGATCATATGTATGAGCGAATGAATGGGGAATTAGCGCGTTTCTTCCTGATGTGTATTTTGTGCGTGTATGTGCAACGATTTGAGTTCGCATAGGTATGAGTGTGTAGATAATGAGAGATTTGTCTTTAAATTCACCGTTAAAGTGTAAATCAAGGAAGTTATATACCTCGTTGTGATCGCCGGATTTGTCATCCGGCGAACCTTAATTATAAATAAACAAGTAAAAGATTTCATCCTAGTCTTATTTTATATTTTCTTTTACCCAGTGAGTTGTATTTTAGGAAATTATTGTTTTGAGTATTTTTTATTAGCTACTATATAGATTTATGCCATGTATTAATATTACAAATATTGTAATGTAGATTTTAACTCGTGCTGTTGCCATAAAAAAGTATCGGAGAAATTTTGTTACGAAAATTATCCAGTCACCTTGGTACATACATATATGGAAAACATATTTCATGCGTGAAGGTATTACAGGGATATCATAATATCCTCGGTGATTAAACGAGATAATCTTTCAATAAAAAAATAACAGAATCTTTGAGATATTTGAACTTTTTATTTAATTATTTTCTATTCTTAAAGATTCCTAAGTACATATTTTTTCAAATTTGTATAATGTAATATAAAAAGTGATATAGAAATAACTTTAATATACATCAGTAATAAATTTTAATTTTCTATTTTTCCTTAAAAACACTCAAAACTTAATTTATAAATGGTAGCATAGTGGTCAGATAATAATACCGATAAAGTGTTTCAGTTACATTTAAACAAGATTATGGGAATCAACTTATATTTACCGGTGCTTGATATTTACTCTACATACAGATAATGTTACGTAATGGAAATATTGTCGATAGCGAGGAGCAAAAGTAAAAAATTACAAAAGGGAATGATTCTTTACATCTATGTTATTATATTCATTGATAGCATCGTAAAATACGGTTAATAAAGAACATTGAATTGTTTTATCGATATAATAGAATTAAAGGGAAGAACTGTACGATAAATAACTTTTGACGTTTTAAATATTGTACGTGGCTGGATTGAAACATTTGCGTCACCTCTTAGAAATAGATGATAACGGAAATTGGTATACGTAAATAACATATACGCGATTATAAATAGTTATAGTTAAAATTATTCCTTTTGACATATATGAGTAATAATATGTACATACATATACATATGCGTGCTTGTACGTTATCAGTGACGTTTTACGACATCCGTCTTTAATTAGAACTTCGAAATCAAGTAGCAGTTCATGAACAAATTAGATATCAAATCGTAATATTTCATCGATTCTCTTAAATCAGTTATAGATAAAAATTACACAACTAATAAACAAAATTTTAAGCAATGAAGATATATATTTTAAAGTAGCCAGTCAGTTGCAAATATGTATACATAGAATCATGTAATCGTACAATAAAATTATTTATTAAAAATCAAAGTTAATTAGATATATTATTATAAAAGAAAAAATATGTAGATAGGAAATTATATGAAGCATGTTAGAAAAATGGGAAAAATTATTATAGGAAATCTGCAATTTATTGCTATTATAAGTTAGTACAATAATATTTTTCATTTTTCATAGATAAAAGATATATTTTTGTACATTAATTTAACTTATGTAAAACAGTGAGTTTTATACTCATATAAAAATCACCAAGGTTTATTAACAATGATTCGTCTTAATTATTGATTAAAAATATAGGACGCTAAATAATCAAATTTTAAGGTTAAAGACATGTTAAGTCATTTGTTTGATCTAAAATAATATAATATAGAATGATAAATAATTTACATTGATTAAAACATAGTAAATTTGACTGCCCTTTTTATTTGATGTAGATTCATGTTGTTTTATAAAGAATAAATTTAATACATGTATATATAACATACAGGTATGTAATGAGTAATGACTGGCAATGATAACAAAAGGCCAATCATTCCATGTCGTTACGCGGGAAGTTGCAAACATTATTGGTCGGTTGAAATTCATCACGTGATCCTTTAGACTGTTGCAGATAAAAGATAATAAAGTGGGTCGTGAATCGTACATTTGCGTGAAAAGTGATTTTACAAGTATCAATGGAATTTTCGTAATTTGAACATTGAATGAGTCATTGCTTACGTTACAAAGTATATATTCAACTAGTGTCATAAGAAAACTATACTGTTCTGTCAACAAATCGACAAATGAGAAAGTAATATGGCGGATACTGCGCATTTGTATGTATAGACGCAATTTATTGATTATTATTATATCCTCGATATTAATTAGGAATCGATATACTGTTATTGAATATAAATATATAATTGTTATAATGATAGCAACAAATTATTTGTTCTTTGTATTCCAAATACTTTGTTGTTTACTTTTTTTCCCTTGTGCATCATTTCTTGTCCAACTCGTTTCCTTATCGTACCTTATAATACCTTTACATAATGCTATCAATTATATTGCTTATTGCTTTATTAATTATACCATAACGACTATCTTTTATTCCAGCAAATACGATAATGTTTGTAATGTTAAATTCTAATTTTTACAACAATATTTTGCCAAACTTTAAGGTTATATTAAAGGCAATTTCCTTCTGCGCATGCGCGAAGAAGGATGCTAGGTATACCCATATATACAGAATGTTCAAATTCTATATCTAATGAAAACATTAATACTAATATCACATTTAATACATAATTGAAGTTATATAATTATAAATTGTTATTTAACATAACAATTATACTTATATTAATTTTTTAAATATTTGGACATATTCCCCATAAAGTGTTATATATACTATAGAGAATACTGAATACAGTCTATAACAAATATGTTTTAATCTCTAAAAATACAAAAATAAAAAGATAAAAGTGTTAATCAGTGATTACTTACTTATCTTATATTAAATACAATTTCTATTTAATAAAATGTTACTTATCATTGATCTTATTTTACTAATTTTTGATTATGTAAAGTAGATAATTATCGATAATTATGTACCGATTACCGATATTAATATCATTTTAAAACAGATTTTTGTATTAAGTCTTATAAAACTAGAATTTTATTGCTTTGGAGTATTTTTCAAAATTTTAAATGTTTAATAAAAATTGAAAAATGTATACTTTTAAATGTAGCAATTATAACTGGGCGAAGAAATTTGTATACCGGTAAAAAAATTTTGAAGTGACGTAATTATTTTGATTGTAAAAAAATTGTACGTATATTGAATAAATTTAACAGTAAATTATCCTCATTGAATTTTTTAGTTATTTCTTTATCCTAAGAGCATATTTTCACTAATAAGAATAACGCTTATCTTGTTCATATGTAGTACTTTATAACTATATAATCTTATTGTTAGTATTATTTTTTTATGATAAAGATATATCGAACACTCGACCTATTTATTTCTGTGCTATTATTAAATTGTTAATAGAAAATTATACCTACAAGAACTTTCAACGTTGTTACTAATTTTCTTCTTTAATTATTGTTCAGATATTTTACAAGGAACAATATAGCATTATGCTATATTGTATATATGCTATATAATATATATAGCAATATATATTATATTGTAATATACAAGATGTTTTTATTGGATGGAAAGGTTTATATAAATTAGAACTGAAATTATTTGCTATTAAATTGGAAATTAGATTGTTTGTTAATGTAATAATAAATAAAGCTTTTATTTTTTCGTATTTTTTATTACTTGATAAGTATAGAAATATCATTCTAGGAATGGATTAGAATCATGCTTTCAAAGGGGAAATCTTACTTTAAAAGTACCTATGTCCCTTTTTGAAAACAATCGGAAAAGATTAGTCGAACGCATTAACTCAAATACAAAAGTACCAACTACAGGCACTTTTATTATTCTCGAAGGAGGAGTTGAGATTCCGTTTAATGATACTGATATATGCTGGCCATTCAGACAGGTAAATAAATCGTTAATTATATAGTACAGTAATATAACATATCTTTTTTATGTAATTTTTTTGTTAGGAGTCATTTTTTCAATGGTGTTTCGCTGTTGAAGAGCCAGGATGTTATGGTGCCCTTGATTTAGCAACAGGAACGTCCATTTTATTTATGCCACGATTACCGCCTGAATATGCAATTTGGGAAGGAAAATTACATAGTTTGGACGATTTTAAAAAACGATATGCAGTAGACGAAACTTATTATACCGACGAGATAGCTAAAGTTTTGAAATCAAAACAAGCAAATCTTCTTCTCACTTTAGTAATTTAGTATTTAAAATAAATATTTTAAAGGACTACATACACTTAGTTAGGGGCTATTTTATTTAAAAATAAATTTATTATCGCTCGGAAGTGAAATGTAACTAAGTTCTTGCGAAAAGTTACTTGAAATTTAAATAGCAATTTTTCGCCATAAAACAGTCAAGAAGAATATGAAAATTAAATTATTATTTCCGATACTGTTCTTGAAAATATATAGAGAAAAAATCACGAATAGTATAATTTTGAATAAAATTATTATTGATTCTACCTACGCGTATGTTTTCTTTTTAGTGAATAGCTTACTTAATCTAGGTTTGCAAACATATTTATTTCTTTTATTATACTTCTAGAATGGTCAAAATAGTGATAGTGGCTTGCAAGCAAAAGAGGCAACTTTTGATGGCATTAGTCAGTGAGTACTAGTTTTCAATATTTTCTACATTATAAATAATTTATTTATTTACATTTTATCGTGTTATAGGTTCAAAGTTGACAATAAAATTTTATATCCTGAAATATGTGAATGGTAAGTGCTACAAAATTAATATTATGCGGTCTGGTAAAAATACGTTAATTCGACCGAAAGAGTTAATTAAATGGCTCCAAAGAAGAAATTTTTATTTTATTGTAGAATATAGAAGGTAGAACATATAAAACGTAAAAATTAATTACTATATATCAAATTGAAATTGGCGAAATTTCACACGATATATGGAAATTTAAAAAATTGCTATCGAAATTGAGCAATTGTCGATTTATTATATCGATATATATCGTTATAATTATTTTCTGTAAGTTTGTCACAAGTCTTTCACATGAAGCCTTTTAATAATGGCTCTATAAAATCGTTAAATTGAAAGTATCATTGAAAACAGGTTCAAGATATAAATACTGGTCATTATATCTATTTTAATTCAGAACAATTTTATTGCATTCTGCAAGAGATATTTCATACTGCTTCATCTTTTCATTTCATAATTGGAGAAGGTACATTAAATAAGACATGAAGGAATTATTGTTAAACTTAATCTTATTAGATGTTTGTATGCTTTATGCAGATGATACTAGCTGGTCATGTATGGACAAAATTTTTAATGCGTATGAGCATGCAATCCTCTGCTTGGATCACTAAATTTATTATACGAAGCTATGAGTCCAATTCTGGAAAATATGCTGAACAACAAAGTCTAACACAGACTAGCATTCTTGTAGAAGAGGGATTAGAAATACAGGAAGTGCCTTTAATTGTTAGAAAGATCAAAAATATTGAAACCATATGTAACAATAAAGATCAAAATAGCATTTCTATTATTGATAATTGTTACAAGGTTCCTGATATATCTAAGAAGAATGAGCCATTTACATTTAAAGCTAAAAGTAATGCAAGTTCCAAAAGTAACACTAATGTGAAAAACAAAGCATTAAACCAAAGAATAGACATAGAAACAGATGAGGGAACTGCAATATTATTTTATTCAGATCTTGACTGTTTCAAAGATTTGAATGTAGAAGAGGCATTGCAAGGATTACAACTGTTCAATGCAACTAATGGTGCCTATCCTACGTTAGACAACAAGATCTCACAAGAAATCAATTGTAGAGTAGCTTTAGAAGGATTAAGAAAAGTTATAGACTTAGAAAATAATTGGTTTAAACAGAAGTCTAATAAAATGCAAAGAAATAGGCAGTTTGATGTTGATAATACTACTAGAGATATGATAATGAAACAATTGATTAAATTAATTATTAATAGTAATGATGCTGAAATAATAGTTCAGGGGCTGATAACCCTAAAAAAGGATAAAGTTAGTCCATCTAGAAATATATATAGAGATTTCATGTGTGATGAAGCTTTAAGTCGAGCAACAGATGGAGAGTTTTCACCTGCACAATTAGTAAATTTAATAAAGATTTTATCATCTTATAAAGATTCTAAGTACCGTAAATCAATAGATACCTTATGGGTTGGTATTTTGCTTCAAGAGCAAGAGATTAATACATATACATTAGTAGCATTATTTAAAGTATTAAAGTATTTTAATCAAAGTAAAAATATGGTCAAACTTATTTTAGAGAGAAAACTTTCTGACTGTTGGTTAAAATTAACAGGCACGCAAATTGCAGAAATACTAGATTCTTTTCATGATGATGTTTCTGCAATGAAATGTTTAATGAGTGCCAGTAAGTGGGCAAGTATAAGCATGAATGCATGTAGTGAAAAAGATTTAATAAATTTTATACATAGTTTACATGTAAAAGATTACATTGATGATAGAATAGAAAGTACTTTGCAAGGCTATTTGAAATCTAAAGCATCACAAATTGATGATTCAAAATTAATAGCTACAATTATGAATTATTGTAAGGATTTGCAAATCAGAAATGAAAGAATCCTATCAGAATGTGGGGAATATTTTATGAAACATGCTATGAATATATCAACTTCTTCATTGTCTTCTATTCTTACACCATTTGGATTATTATACGTACATCCTCCCAATAGTACTGAATTTTGGAAAACTTTTGATGATGTGTTATCAGTAAAATTTCATGATTTGAAATTAGATGATGCTTTAGATATTCTTCTTTCTTGTACTTATTTGGAAAAATATCCTGTTAAATTTTTTGATAAGATATTTATTTCACAATTACTGCATAAAATTCATTTGAGAAATCATTCTGTATTCTCTAATCGCATAAAAAATAAGTTGAAATTACTAGATGCTACCATGTTTTTAGAGTCTAAGGAATATCCATCTTTACATTTTCCCCTAAGAAGAGTAGAGAAACCTTTAGTTTTAGATGTTCGAATTAGAAGAGCAGTGAACATGATATATCAACCATTAGCATCTTTGGTAGGGGGAGAACAAAAATTGAGTAAAAATGTGATATTGAATAGACTACCACCTATTAATTTCTATATTCTTGATATTCTTATACATCCGCATATGGTATCCACGTCGGTATTTCATTTGAATTTAGATCAGGAGAAAAATGTGAATACTGCAGTTTTTATTTATTTACCAGAGTATTATTGTAGAAATACGCGACATTTAATAGGACCACAAATAATGAAAAAGAGACAGATTAAGAAATTAGGTTTTAAAGTTATGATGTTAGATTATGCAACAATACAAGAACTCTGGAATCAATCTAATAAATTGTTATCTTATTTGTTGAAAAGTTTACATTCTGCAGAAAATTCTGTATAACATATACGTAACAGAAATATAAAATATAAATTTCTCTATTTTTGATAGAAATTGTAAAAGTAGTCTAATGAAATATATTGTATAATGTGTAGAATAAAATTTTTCATAGATGAAAAATGAATAATTTCTTATATAATTATTGACAATTATATTATTATAAAATAAGATGTAAGTTTCATGTGAAGACATATGTATTTCTTTTCTTTATAGTCGTGTCATAAAATCTCCACAAGAAATTAAGGTACTGGAATATGTGATTAAAGTTAGCTCAGATGCTCACAAATCTATTATGCAAATGGTGAAACCAGGATTTGCAGAATTTCAAGCAGAAGCAGCTTTTATGCATTATGTATACTCCATAGGAGGTTGTAGGCATGTGTCTTATACTTGTATTTGTGGATCTGGACATAATGCATCTATATTACATTATGGACATGCTGGTGCTCCCAATAATAAAGTTATAAATAATGGTGATATGTGGTAAGTTTTGATCTCTGACATTTTAATTGAAATTTATTTTATTTACAAAAAATATTATTTTTTGTCTATAAGCCTTTTTGACATGGGTGGAAACTACTGTGGATATGCAGCTGATATTACATGTAGTTTTCCAGTTAATGGAAAATTTACAGAAGACCAAAAAATGATCTATAATGCAGTGTTGGCTGCTCGTGATGCAGTGATGGATGCTGCAAAGCCTAATGTTCTTTGGACAGATATGCATCTTTTAGCAAATAAAACTATGTTAATTTCATTAAAAACCGGTGGTTTGTTAGTAGGCGATGTTGATGAAATGATGAAAGCAGGATTGCACGAAGTTTTTCAGCCTCATGGGCTTGGACACCTTATGGGATTAGATGTTCATGATGTTGGTGGATATCTTCCAGGACATCCTGAACGTTCATCAGCTCCAGGCTTAAGAAAATTGAGAACCAGTCGTGTTTTACTAGCTGGTATGGTTTTGACAATTGAGCCAGGTTGCTATTTTATTGATTGCGTAAGTAAAAAAACTATGATAGATTATAAGAATGTGAAGAAAGTACTGAATATTACAGTTTTTCGAATCTATAGAGATTCAATATTATTAACAAAATTTTACATATCAATCAATATAAAAAAAGATAGTTGATATATAGTTATTAGATGCAGCACTGAAAAATCCAAATCAATCAAAATTCATCGTTGCTGAAGAATTGAAAAGATTCCGTGGTTGGGGTGGAGTTAGAATCGAAGATGATGTTCTTATAACGGAAACAGGCGTAAGAAATTTAACGGATGTGCCACGCACGTAAGTTTCTTGCATATTTTGATATTTACATTACCTGATATTTAAATTATTCGTCTTACAATTATATTCATTATTTACTAATATTTATGCGCACTTTATTTGTTAATATCTGCACGATTTTTGACGTCACTTGCAATTAAAATGTAAGTATAACTTACAATAACACACCGTTTAATTATAGCGTGGAAGAAATAGAAGAATGGATGGCCGCTAGAAAAGAATGAAGTTGATTACATATGAGAAAACAATGAATACATCGTATAAAATATGCGATTGTATAACGAAGAATTTCGTGCGAAGAAACACTATTTACATATTCTGTTCCTTATGATATAAGAACCATTGTGATACGTCATATAACGTCATAAAATATTTTTACACGCGTTTCTTATAGCGCATATAATGCAATATTTAGTATCACACAGGTTTAAGTCATGCCTTTATAAATTGTATATAAAGAGAAACAAATAAAACAATATTCTTTATTATACAGTGCAGTTCATCAATACTTTTATTTTTCCAGACGAAATTTTACTGCATCTTTTCTTTTATTAAACAAAATATATATTGCAAAATATTTACTTAATATAGATTAGAAAATAATCTTTAAACATTAATAGAATATATGGAATTAAAAAAATATTAAATGCATTGAAAATGGAACTGCATGGTTTTCTATCGTGAAAATTTCAATTCGTAATAACCTTTTGTGAGACGAAAGAGGGGGACAGACAGTGTCAAGTGTAACCTTGGATGTGATATCTTACGCATATTGAAAGGGAACTTGAGCGCTGTTATTATCGGGTATGGTGTTACAGTCGTGGTCGTGGTGTGAACGCGCGTGGTTCTTTTCGTGGAGGTTCTGAAAACTGTCAAAGTAGACAGACGAAAGGATACAAGTGTTTTCTTATTGCAGAGTGTCGTTTTATTCTTTTTTGTTCAATGATTCTTTACAAGTTGTGCATTAGTGGTACGTATATTTTATGAATTATTTATTATTTGCGTACGAATATGTATATTAATTGTGTTCGGTTATGTCTTAACCAAAACAAATTTTCTATCCACGATATTAATAAGTTTTTAAATAATTTAAAACTGAATTGATTGATAAGACAGTTTTTTATAGATCTTTAAATGTACGAAGAAAGATAATGATGAAAAAGATTTTGAAATGAGAGTTTTTTTTATATAAGATGTTGATACAGTACTTTTTGCAAAATATCTTATTTTTTATTCTCAGTGAAATTTTTAAGAAATTTATAGATATATTATAATTATTTAAATAATTGAATACTGAGCTATTACGAAAAATAAGGCGGTATCGATAAACAAAATAATAACAATTAAAATCTCCAATTTTTGTATTATAAAAAAATGAAATTTAAGAATGGAATAAAAATAAATTTAAAAAGAAGTATGTTAAAAATTAAAATGGGAAAGGACTAAGACTAATTATGTCACATCTTTTTCTCTTTAATGATGAAGATTCGTTGTATTTGGTTGTCGACGTCAAAAGCGAAAGTGGATTGGATAGTCGCTGATATGACTTGTCTTTTCGAAGAAGACCACAATATAGTGCTGGATCTGATAAATTATAATAAATAATCAACGAAAAGCCAACAATCAGCCATCGAGAATAAAAACTGCATATGCACTCAGAATAAAAGATGATTGATATAGGTATGTTAATCTAATTATTAATAGTTATGACTATATACGAATAAAAATTTTTTAGTTAAATATTATTAATTTATCTATTATGGATATTAGAACGTAAATGGTTCAATTAATATTTAAATCGTTACGATAAATCTTTAATGAAAATTAATGATTTTGAGTTTATCAATTTTGCATTAATTTAAATATTTATTTTCATCGGGTTAAAATAAAGCTTATTTTCATTTTTTGGTATCTTCCAATATAATTACAAAAGTATTCTTACAATTGTAATAATATAATTTAAGGATTGATTAAGTTTGAGAATTAAATAACGAAAGAAAACATTATTTAAAGATTCAATGTGGAATTTGAAGTGTATAAAAGATAGGATGGAGAATGAAAGATTCTTATAACGAATTGTTTTATAATTATTTTCTTACAAAATTATACGATATTTCCCTAAGTAGAATAGTGCAAACTGTAATCTTATATGAGTTTTTAAAATTTTAACGAAAACGAAAAATAAATTATTATTATAAATATCAATGATAGTAAATGATAGTAGATATGAAGATAAATGATAGTAAAAATGAGAAATTAAGATTAATAAATAATTTGTTTTCAATAGTTCAAAACAAAACAATTGATTAATTTATAAAGGATTACAAAAAATTTCATTGATTTCCTTTTTTGTCTTGAAATAACTTTATGTATAAAATGTTAGTTTATATTATAGCGTTTAAGAGAAATGGAAAATACTTTAATCTGAAATGTAATAGTAAAAAATAATTCTAACCAAAGACTTGACGAAGTAAGTACGTCATTTACCAAGAAAAAGTGATAGCGTCGTCAGCTATTTATCATTTCTTCCTCCCTTCGCAAGTTATTATTTTATGCGCACATTTACTAAAGCTAATCAGAATGCTACACAATAGTTAGAAACTGAGCGGGACCAAGTCTATTAACCTATTGAACCATGAATTGTCGAAGAGATTTCATGGGCAGTTCATTTCAGATGAAAAGAAGAAGATTGTCAATTGCAGATTTATAAACGCATTCTTTTACAATCTTGTCAATTGGCCATATTTGATGAGTTACATTCAACAGTATGTACTTCTTAATTTAACTACATTTTCATATTTTCGCAACTGGGTACGTATCTGTATGAACACATTAGCAGCCGATGGCGTAACGTTTTTTTTTTCAACAATCGTATCGTTAATAAACGATTTTTCTGGTACGTATATACAATCGCAAAACTTGAATAACAATTTAGAAAACATATATATCTATGTATACGTCCAATTTTCTAAATTAAGAAAATGCATATAAGTCCAATTTTCTAGATCTGGAAAATGTATGTTATATTGTAAAATGTATTGTAAAATGTATATAATGTATGTTATATATATGTTTAATTTTCTAGATTAGAAATTTTGTTATTCAAGTTTTGCTATATATTGATACTTTTTTCACTCGCTATGCCTGCCGAATATTGTTTAAAACTGACTGTATTTGCTAATTTCGATGAAATTAGAATGTAACATAGAGAATTACATTTTGTATGCTAAAATTAAAAGAAAATAGAAGAATATACGGTATCGACTGCTCTATCATCATAAGATCACGAAATACAAATTAGTCGTCATTTTTTCTTGCTGATGGAAAATCTATTATTTCAATTAATATTTTTCGTGTAATTATCGATTCTTTATTTCAATGTGATCGTTTTCCATAGAAGTCACGAATGTACGTATTTCTCACGTAATACTTAGCAAAGAAACGTAAAAAATACCTAGAAGAAAACAACAGGTCCAAGTTCTCCGTAGCAAAACCTGTTTCCCTCGCAATTTACTTTGGCTATTAGCGATTGAATTCTTCTTCTTCCTTTTTTTTTTTCTTTCATTTTGCATGGTCGCCTCTTCCTGCTTCCGCGAACATACGATACGGATTAGTCTAAGCTCGTGATCAAGGTGAGGGTAATCGATGAGGGCGGAGTGTTTACGTCGATTTCCATTACGTAGAACGAGAGAAACGACGGCTTGACAAACACGAGTCACCTTTGACGCAACGCGAATATATGACAGTCAGCTGCATCATACGACCAGAGACCAGGATATTGTCGGCCGGTCTCGTCACGTGGCTGCTATGTCAATGATTCGAGACGTCAACCAAACGCCTATTGCGTGATCGGTTCCTGATTTATGTTATGACAATACTAATAGTCGCTTGATCTCAGTCATAGGTTCAATAGAGTTACAGCACAACTTCATTTAGTGGAATGAAATTTTAGCCGATGTTTGATATAAATGAGTTTCTAACGATTGAATAGGATTATTCAAAAGTGAGCTTCTACTATATGAATGAAAAATGATAGATAGTGAAGAGAATTAGTGAGTTTTTATTACATGCATTATATTTCGTTGTATTATAGTACGTGTCCATTTATTGAAATGAAATTTGACTCGATGTTCAAGTAAACGTGTTTCTGACCGTCGAATGCGATTATTTGAAGGCGAGCTTCCATTACATGAATGAAAGTCATAGGCGGTGAAAAGGATTAGTGGACCTTTATTATATTACAATAGAACACCATTTATTGGAATGAAAGTCAATATCCAATTAAACGAACTTATTACTTCTACGTTCATTTCATTCACTTGTTTACATGTTTTTGCTATCGATTTAATTTTGAGTCCCAAGTTCAGTTGCGTATTCATTTTTATTAAGTCATTGTTTTGTACGTTTTCATTTATCATATAAGATCGAGTTTTCACAACTAATGATACGTTCTAATCCTTTTGTTATTGTTTCTTCGAAACTGAAGAATCATAAAGATACAGGTGACCCTCTTATGGCACGGACGTCTGTATCGGACAATTTGATAGTCACGGGAACCTTGGTACAAATTAAGATTTTAAAGATTAATGGAATAACAATTTTATTGCTAATTTTGTTCAGAAAGTTTTTTGAGAAAGATATATCGAACGACGATATCGTCATTATAATGAAATAAAATCAACACATTTTTGCATGGTACCAAAAATGGAAGCTAGTAAACAATTTTATAAATTTATTTAAATCTTTAATAGTATCATTAAATGTATAGTTTATAAAAGTAACTGTCTGAGATATATGTAAACATTGAAATATCGCGTTTGGAGCAACGCATTGTTAATTTATTTCATTGTTATTTTTCATTTTAATTATGAAGCGAAGGAATATCAAAAGAACATTCAATGATAAGTTTACTACTCTTGTGTAACTTTTTCTTGTCCTACGATTTTATTGAAACTCGTAACTAAATTGGATGGTCGATTATGTTCAATGAAAATGGCTTTTGGCAAAATTCTCATGTCGTAAATGTCATTCTTTGCATCATCGGAACGCGACTTCTCCGATGATGTCATTGGACGAGGTGAACAGTCGAACCGACTCGATAAACTAAAAATAGCAGTTTCTGTTTATGCTTTTTTAATTTTTTCTCTTTTTATTTTCGTATGCTAATTTCGAACAATCGCCAACGTTGCTGAAAAATTCCTTCGGTGGGAACGAGATACGATCGATCTTAGAGGCACAAATAGTGCGACATAGGAAATAAATCTTATCAGTTGCCCAAGTTCAAGTGAAAATCTGACATACTTTATCAGGAATGATGCATTGAATTATATAATAGGATAAAGTTCGTTGAAAACGAGATCGTCTTTGAAATCGATATTTTTGGTCGGAAGTAAAAGTGTATTTCGCTATTCCGTTGGCTAACAATGAGAATTTACTATTGGTTTATTTAAAAATATTGCGAGTTCGTTATCGGACCGTAAAAAAACAAATGTGA